AAACTAACTCTAACCCTAAAAATGCACTTCAAAATTTTTTACTTTCGGTAGCTTGTCTATTTTTTAATTGTACAATATTTCATTTTAATTGGATTTCATTTTAATCTGTTACATTTACTATTTTTTTTTTTTTTAAAACTTTGATGATTTTTTCATTAACTTTATTAGAACACTACATATATTACATATCATTTTAACCTATCTAAGTAGTCGTTATAACCTCATCCGGCTACCCTATATGGTGTCTAGATGCAACCATCTGCACCATTTCATATGTGAGATGGACATCCTCGGGTAACCTCTATTAAGAAGCACTCTAGGTTCTGATTTAACTCAGAACCCTAATACTTTTTTACTAATTCGTATATACTCTGCTATATATACTACTATACAATGTCTACTAGTTATAATCCACCTCTCATCACTTATCACATTACTCCTAATTCATTTCTTGTATAACTTTCAAATTGGTGTCCTAGAAGTGGGTGCTCTTCTTGCTTTCAGTTTGGTGTCTCTCGAAATATTACTTCAGTTCCTAATCTGTATCTCAAGCCAGGTGCTGCCGCTGTCTGAAGACCTGTATCTCAAGCCACCTGCTGCCGCTATTAGGAGAGCTGTTCGTATGGTTCTAGGTATTCATATCATATATTACCAAATTAGGCTACTGCTCTATTTATAGTACTTCCTATTGGTATGGTATTACAGAAGTCTAGATCCTTAGGACAGGAGTTAAGTACCTTATTTAATTACTATTACAAGCCAGTAACCCGGGACCCGCACTTCTGCTATGTTTTGTCATGCTTCTACGACTCCCATATAGGTTGTGCGATACATTACTCACTGGCCGACTTTATTTTTGTACTACTGGAGCGTTTGCTTCCATGCTTTTCGGGATTTCTTTTAGCCGGTTTTCCTTGTTTCCTTGTGCCAGAGGTGTTCTATATTTGGTAAAGCCATTTTCTTACCACAGCCCCTTACTATATTCATCGCTTCTCTCACCACTTCTGGTTATATTGCATATAGCCATCCTCCCCAATACTGCTTTAGGGTTGTTGGTGCTACTTTGCCAATCGTGGATTCACACGCACAGCCTTCTGCAGTATTACCTTCTGTAACCCATATCACACGCAGTGCCTAATCTTCTCCATAGCTCGGGACTCCTTCCAAGAATTCTTTATTGGCCAAATATGTACTTCACATAGTCTTATCGCCACAAGGTTCCGCATTCAAAAGCCCCTGAAAGTTACAAAGATAATTAATTAAATTAATTACCACCAGCTATAATTGAACCGTCAATCTCATCTGTAAAGAGTTAGGCACCTAGACTACTAGGCTACAGGATCCTAACCCTTACATTTACTATTTATTAAAAGTTTGCAGTATAATTAATAGATTATTTATTATAATTTTTATTTAGTTATGCAATATAACATTGGAGAATGTTATCATTTTGGAGAAGGGTCAAAAAAGACAAAATAAGACATTTTTTATTATCAGAAAGCTGCTAAAATGGAGAATGATGTAATATGTACGAATAGTTCTAGAGTTTATACAGTGGCGCAAATGAAATTAATCAGATAAATAGAATTAGGTTAGAAGAATTTAAAAAAAATAAAAGAATTGCTTTATAATTAATAAAAAGAAACCTCATATAATTAATTCAAAGCCCTATCTAAGCTTTTTTAACAGTATATATTATTAAATAAAAAATTCTAATGGTTATTGTGACAAGTATAAGTGAGGCCGGACTCAATGAATTTTTTTTTCATTTTAATTCTACAGATATGTAGAATTTAAATAAAAAAAAAATTCATCAAATATTGTTGGGTGGTTACAGAGATATCTTTGCTTAAAAATTTTTAATTATTCAAATGCTTATCAAAATTATAGCTGTGGCAAAATTTTTCTAAACTTTGAGCGAAGATATCTTGGCAACCGCTCAACAATATTCAATGAATTTTTTTTAATTTTGATTCTACAGATATGTAGAATTAAAATAAAAAAATTTCATCAATATTGTTGGGTGGTTACAGAGATATCTTCACTCAAAAAATTTTTAAAACTTTGAGCGAAGATATCTCGGCAACCACCCAACAATATTCAATGAATTTTTTTATTTTGATTTTACAGATATGTAGAATTAAAATAAAAAAAATTTCATCAAATATTGTTGGGTGGTTACAGAAATATCTTTGCTCAAAAAATTTTAATTATTCAAATACTTATCAAAATTATAGCTGCAGCAAAATTTTCAAAACTTTGAGCGAAGATATCTCAGCAACCACCCAACAATATTCAATGAATTTTTTTTATTTTGATTTTACTGATATGTAGAATTAAAATAAAAAAAATTTCATCAAATATTGTTGGGTGGTTACAGAGTTATCGTTGCTCAAAAAATTTTAATTATTCAAACGTCTATCAAAATTATAGCTGTGGCAAAATTTCAAAACTTTAAGCGAAAATATCTTGGCAACCGCCCAATAATATTCAATAAATTTTTTTTTATTTTGATTTTACAAATATGTAGAATTAAAATAAAAAAAAATTCATCAAATATTATTAGGTGGTTATAGAGATATCTTCACTCAAAAAAATTTTAATTATTCAAAAACGCTTATCAAAATTATAGCTGCAGCAAAATTTTTCAAAACTTTGAGTGAAGATATCTTGGCAACCACCCAACCATATTCAATGAATTTTTTTTATTTTAATTCTACAGATATGTAGAATTAAAATAAAAAAAAAATTCATCAAATATTGCTAGATAGTTACAGAGATATCTTTGCTCAAAAAATTTTAATTATTCAAATGTCTATCAAAATTATAGCTGTAGCAAAATTTTTCAAAACTTTGAGCAAAGATATTTCTGTAACTACCCAATAAAATTTAATGAATTTTTTTTTATATTAATTCTACATATTTGTAGAATCAAAAAAAAAATATATATATTAAATATTATTAGGTGGTTATTAAAATATTTTTGCTTAAAGTTTTGAAAAAGTTTGCTGCAGCTATAATTTTAATAGGCATTTGAATTTTTTTAAAAATTTTGAGAGAAGATATCTCTGCAACCACCCAACAAAATTTGATGAGTTTTTTTTTATTTTAATTCTATATATCTGTAAAATTAAAAAAAAAAAATGCTTTAAATTTCATTGGGTGGTTGTAGAGATATTGTCACCAAAAGTTATAAAATAATTTGAATTTTCAATAATCATATTGTAATTATTGATCTACATAATTAATCATATGGGTACACGGCTTTAGACGACCCTATTGTTTTGGCAATAATGATCTACACTATGTGACGAACTAATCGGCGCTTTGGTTAACGAACTGACCCAAACCAGATAGTAAAGTTAGAAGAAATTTTAACAATAAGGCTTAGCTTTACAATAAAGATATACAAAATTTTTAAATTTAGTATATAATTTTTACAACTTGTACCTGGCATGGGCTATAATAGTGTTTTCATAAATTTTTTTTTTTTCTGCTTTTTTCTTCTTGTTTCATTTGTTTCTTTTTTTTTCTTTTTTTTTGTTGCTTAGATAGTTTTTTTATTTCTTCCTTTTATGTTGTTCTCTTTATCTTTTTAGTATTAGTTTTTTTTCATAAGTTAGTTGAAAACTATAAATCCTTCTGCTTGCGAAGCTAGGAGAAAAAGGTTTAGAAAAGATAGCAGTCTTGATAGGCCATAAATACTATTCAATAATGTATCAAAGAATTTATTTGCAGGGTTTTTTGATATGGAGATAGGTATTCGCTTAAAAACAACTGGGTTAATGAACACTTGTAATTTAGATAAGCTTAAGGTGACTTGAGTCATAATTGATATTTTACCTGTGAGTTTAATATTTTATCCTAATAAAGTATTGGCAAGATTGCTGAATTTTTTTAAAAAAAAAACTTCTGAATTTTATTTAATAGAATTTTTAACATAAATGTTATACAAACATGCATAATGATTAACAAACCGGACACAGATTCAAATGTCACGTTGTATATGGACATTGTTCTGTTAAAATTTTGAAGATGCAAACAGTTCCATATCTCAGAACGTCCCATCCCAGACTGTCTATTGTTCATGTTCCTGTCCCATAACAACATGACTTTACTTATTTGTGCCAATTACACAAACCAAAAAAGGGGATGGCTAAAGCCAAGTGTGTTTATATGTTTTTGATTGTTTAATTAAAATTAAGGTAAGAGTTAGTTAGAGGTTTGGGTTGAAAAAGTTTTTATAAGTAAAATTGTCTTCTCATTATTTTTTATTAGTGCTTCAAGACAGGTTTAAACACTAGTTTCTTGTATTTTCGACATTTTTCACTTTTGTTCTTTGTTTTTGTCTCATTGGGTTAATCAAATTTTATATTTTGATTGGCTGTTAGTCATGTGAACGCACCTGGTTTTAGACAGTCCCCCCCAAAATAAATTTGAAGTTTATTAAATTTTAGAGTTAGGGTTAGAACCTGGGTTAGGGTTAGTGTTAGGTTTAGTAAATACTATAGGTAAAATTACCTCCCCGACATTTTTTGTTAATAAAAAAAGTAGATTTAGACTACCGTTTCTTGTATTTTCTTCATTTTTCTCTTTTTTTCGTTTGTTTTGCTTCGTCGGGTTGATCCGGTTTCTACGTCGGGCTGATCCGGGAAACCCGAAATTTCCTTTTTAGGGGTTTGTATTACCGGCACAAATAAGTAAAGCCTGACAACACTGCCCTAACCCTAAATTTTAGTAGGGATGGTTATCGCCATAAATTGCCGATGACCGAATCGATAAGTTACCAAGTCGGAATCAATAAGTAACCGACTTGGGCGAACTCAGAAATTTATCGATTCGGTCATCGGCTATTTTTTCAGAAACAGCTGTAATAACCACTGGTATAAAGTATTTGACCCGGCCAGGTTATGAAATCAAATTGAAGAATTTAATTTTACTCTTTCACATATAAAATACAATATAAACAAATTTATATGTAAGGCACAAAAATTTTAAATTTAATCTTTACGCTTAATATAACAAGAGATATCTACTTTTTTATCATCTTTTACCAACGCATCATTTAATATCTTTTCGAACTTGAACCCGGATTTTTTCAATACGCGCTCACTTTTAACGTTTCCGGTAAAAGTCATTCCATATAAATGGTCTAATCCTAAACCATTAAAGGCGATTTCATCACAAACAAAATTCAAAGCAGAACTAGTAATGCCAAGATTTCTATAATGTGGGGAAATAAAATATCCAACTTCATAGCTGTTTTTAGAGAGATAATTAAAATCAGAAGAAATATTGTAGGAAGATTCATCAAGCAAAAGTAGTCCAATGCATCCGATAAATTCATTTTGATCATTACGAATTGCCCATGTTGTACAAGTAAGGGTTTCAGAGTACGAACTGAGGCATTTCGATACAAAAAATTCAGCATCAGAAAGAGTGTAAGGATTAGGGAGCGCCCTTGTCCATTTATGAATATCCATAGATAATATATTTGTTGGACCAAGGATTGAATAAATTTTAGGGGCGTCATACTTCTGTATTGCAGATAAATAAAATCGATTTTCATTAGAGGGAATAGAAAGATTAAAAGGACCATCGAATTTAATTAATGATAACGTTGCCATGTTTGAAGCGCGATTTATCATTATGGTTGTCCATTTACAGTATATAACAATAATTGAACCAATAAAAAACAATACTTAATGGTATTTCTAGAAAAGTGAAAATTCCATTATATGGACTACAGTTTCCGAAATTTTTTGGTGTTCCAAACTTAAAACTTTATGGTCCCACCAAGCCCTTAAATGGTAGGCACCAGCCTCCAGCCTCGGGAACCGTAAAAATGCACATCCCAGTCCAACAAAGTTGTGACGGAGAAAACATTCTTTACTCAATATTCGAGTCAATAAATCGTCACGCAACAGGCTTGCCAATGAGCGCACTACAATATTCTTCTTCACCGTCTTCACCTTCAGTTACCACAACACCGCAATCGCAGTTATACACTCAGCCGTTAATGTCCCTGCAACCGCCATCTTCACAACCAGTAAAGATGAGCAGTAATACATTCGTTCATAAGCTTTACAAGTATGTTATTTTCAAAACATTTTGCAGCGATTGGGGAGGTTAGATCTTGTATGTGTCTTGAATATACGCTATTGCAGAAGAACTACTTTCTAAATCTATTTTTGTTTTAAAAAACCTTGTTTTTGATCCTATAAACACAATTTGATCACTAGTATGGTTGTTGACAAGCAATACCAACATCTTATTGCTTGGAATTACACTGGGTCATCCTTCATAGTGTGCAATATTATGGAGTTTTCACGCGATGTCTTGCCGAAGCATTTCAAGCATAACAATTTTTCAAGCTTCGTTCGTCAACTAAACATGTAAGCTCTATTTTATTCGAATGCTAACATTTGTCCTGCTCCATTCGCTTTTGCCTTTTATTATTAATGCAATGGACCTGAATGAATCTATATAAGAATATACAATGGGTTGACACCTTTATTATGTGACTTGGCGGCTTAGGTACGGTTTTCATAAAGTTAATAAATCACCTCGGGGGCATCGTACATTGGCTGAAAATCAAATATGGGAATTTTCTCACGCAAAGTTTTTACGTGGACGTCCGGATTTATTGGACGATATTAAAAGAAAAGCTATGGAGTCAGAAACTTTGCGACGAGAAACTGGAGACTTACATGCTCATCTCGCTATGATGCAAGTTACTCAAAATGAGTTATTGCAACAAAATAGACAGTTGCAAGAAAACTTTGCAGAGGTAGCGAGAGAATTAGCAGAAACAAAGAAAAGACAACACCTTCAACATCTTTGGATGAAGGGTATGTTGGAATTTTTGCAAAACCAAGGGACGCATAGTAAGTTTATCAATAATTAAATAATTAAATAAATATATCTAATTTCATAAATAAAAAATATATATAATTTAATATTTAATATTTTCTTAGTTCCATTTGCGTTGCATTTAGATAATTTCGAAATTAAACCAGAACCCGAACGTCCTCCAATATATATTACTTCACCAGAGAATCATAATATAAATTATTTGTACAATATAACTCATAATGGTCTTACATCACGTCCATCTTCACCATTATCTTCACCATTGACAGTAAACACCAATATAAACACTCATGGAAGTTCATCTAGTCAAGCTAGCTCACATGGTCAAAGTTCAAATTTGAACATTCAACTTCCAGGAAGTCCTTTTTTGAATAACTCTATATTGACTGGTCAAATACCTCCACTTTCTCCTAATTCATTTAGTTCTTTTAATGCGGCAGTAAATACCCCCTTACCTCCTAGTCCGTCACCAGGTTCGCCAATGGGACATCCTTCTGACGATGATATGGATAGCTCGATTTACGGCGCAAGTCCTGGCGAAGAGTTTGGAGAAGATATGTTTACTACACCAATGTAATGATTTCCTGGTCAAATAATTAAAAAAAAATTCAACCAAAGCTAATTTTTTTAGCTTACCTAGTCGACTTCCTTCAAATCGGCTGATCGATTTCTTATTATGATAATAATTCACTCTCAAGTTTTTTTGTATATATATACTGAGTCATACTTTTCGTGTAACATCAAATATACAATATTTTAATTAGCATTAAGGGTAGGGTGACTATTTTTAAGTTATATAAAATTTAGTAGCAAATTTTTTATATTTAATGTTGAAGAAACTTATTTAGTAAACCATTTTGTATTTCTAAGCGAAGTTGTAGATTAGGTTTCTCAGATTTGATGGTAGTAAAATCATTTAAAATTGGTTTATATTTAAATTGATATCATAAATTTATTATAAAGGTCATTTGATTAAGCAAATCAAAAGCAAATATTGAAAACTTGTTGAAACTTCCGTTGGACTTTTAGATTTTTCCAGCATTTTCAATAAAAGAATATCCTGAATCTTTTAACACTTTAAATCCCGACTTTAAAACTTTGTATGTATATGTATGACTGACGCTCTATCCGGGTTGTGATGAAATCTCTTCGGAGTACTATCAAAAAACCAATCAAAATAAATAAACTGAACTTCTGCTATGTTCCTTTAGTTGCTTAAATCTCAACTTATTTTGCACTTAGTGGAAAGGTGTTTAAAGTAAATGAAAACACTAAATGATTAGACTATGGTGCAAGGTTTATAAATATCTCTGTCTTTCATAAAACACATTATTAACATAAGATGCTAAGTCTCCGCAAATCGAATTGCCGAATTTGCCTATCATTATATCTGAAGCAAATTTTTATAATAAAATTTTTTTAAATCTTTGAATAAGACCTTGACCAGATTTAATGATAATCATACGGAATTAATTTTAAAAATTTTATTAAAAAATTTTTGCTTGGTTTTCATTGATTTATTCTCAAATAATTTATAATAGAATTAAACTTGGAGGCTTAAGCGATTGTTGGCAAGAATGATATGAGCTAAAGAATGTTTTCGTTGTTAATAAGACGTTGCGCAATAACTTTGCAAATGAAAGACTGTCCAAGCTAGTCTACATGTGAGAACCGAAAACTGACCAAGCCAGCTAAGCAGATAAATGTTGAACAGTAGAGTTATTTCACTAATCAATTTTCTGAATTGCGGTACGGGAATCTGAAAGTTTTGGTAAAGAGTGAATTGATAATATCTAGATTTATATCATTTTTGTGATTCATTAAGAGAGGTACAATAACAGATAGATGTTTTTCATCTTAAAGCTGCTATATTTTTTATTGATGGATAGGATCCTTGTGGTATATATATATAAAATTAATGGTCTGCAAATTTCCATTTTATCTTTATTAAACACCGATTTATTACGTACGTATCTCCGATTCATCCTCGTATTTCTATTTATTAACATTACTGGGAATGGTTATTTCTCATTTAGGAATTACTCTTTTTGATATTTGCCTATCGCTATTCAAATTCGAATGTTCCTGTGAACATCGTTATCAACATAATTACACATGTGTAATATTACATGCGTAGTTATTACTCGAATTTTTTCTTGGAATTCTATATGTACCATCAATCGAATTTTCTGGTTAACAGTGGCTCCATCAAAATTTGGCAGCGTTGGCAACATGGTCAATATGGACCATTGGACTAGACATTTCGAAATATTCTGAAAATTTGGCAAAAAAAGATATGGACATGGACACTATTTGGATTAGTCCATCCATATTTGCCCAAGTCCAAATAAATTTTATTAGACATAGTCAAGTGCCAACACTGAATATTTGATTATTAAGATTAGGTATGTTTATATATAATATTCCATAAGAATATTTTTAGCTGAGCATAGAAGCTAATTTCACACCGGTAATAAAATTTTCGAGTTAGAAGCGATTTTACGTTATCGTTATGATTGATGTTAAAAAATTTGATTGGATGAACTGCAGAATTTTGTGTTGGTCACTATGTTTCCTTTAAAGTATATTTTACGTGGTCTGGGTGAATTCACGCAACTTTCCTAAGTAGAATACGCACCAATCCCGAAATAGGGCCTGTGTAAGAAAATATAAACATAGTACGTAAGCACGTATCATATATCGATATGATTTGTAAATAAGAACCTTTTTAATCTCCGATTAGAATTAATTAATTTTAGTTAAAGGATAAGAACAGTGCATATTTTCAGTGAACACACTACATGATACTTTGATAAATTTCCAAATTTACATTAGATAGTGTATGACAATTTATTCAATCTTAATCATTGTCCAATCAAAAAAATATATCGGACTAAATGATTCTTCCTAATTTACTAATTAAAAAATTTACATATTGCTTTTGCAAAATGTTTAATTCGAGCATGCTTTTTTGTTACTATATACGATCTGGTAAAGTATACAATCAGATGTGTCAATCTCTACCGTTATGAGTATTCGGAATATCGATATCACTTTTAAGTTAAAATAGAAATTTGCAGGCAATTTGGTTATCCGATTAACCAACGTTAGTTATAATTCTGGTCATTTTTTTTAGTACATTTATCAAGATTTTGTATCCGAATTGAAAAAAGACGATACAAAATTATATTATAGCCAATATCACTAAAATTTTAAAAATTTGATCACCGAGTGTGAGTCATTTAATCAAGTATATATGGGTCAAAGGACTATGTAGATTTTATAAATAAAAATTAAAATTCCTGACTATCCAGTAATCCAATTCAAACAAACTTTTTTTTATTTTATAGAGCTTAGTGAGGTCTATAAAATAAAAAAAATATTATTTGAATTGGATTATTAGATGGCTAGAAATTTTAATTTTTATTCATAAAATCTACATAGTCTCTTTTCAGGACTATAAGTTTTTTTTTTTGGTTTTAAGATGATCTCATTGGCTATGGGGAACTTTTTATTAAAGTATAGATGGTGTTTTATAATATAAGCCACACATGCACTTTTGGTGCCTAATTTAAGTAGTCTGTCCTAGGGTTTCGAAGTTTGATTTGATAAGTTTGAGTTTGAGTTTGATTTGAAATCAAACCCAAACTCAAACATTAAATTTTTGCAAATTTTCAAACTCAAATCAAACTCAAACTTAATTGTAAGTTTGAAGTTTGTCAAACTGTTTGAGTTTGAATAGTAAAATTTTCAAATTTGGAGATTTTCAACCGAAACGGTTTTCTTTACTATGTAAACCTTTTTTCAACTTCTAATAAAAGTTGTAGAGGAGAGTTTTACGATCAAAATGGCGGTTAAAATGTTAAATTTGGCCTAGTAGATCATGATATATAAATATTTTTGTCTTCGTGATTATATGTTTTCTTCTTTAAACATCTTTTCTCTTAAAATTTAAACTTATAAGGTAAATATATACTGAAATAATGTATTTTTATGCATAGAACAAGTTTACTTAGAGCATTAAGGTGGTTTAATTAGTACAATTTTGTAGATTTAATATTTTTTATAATTTTATTAATAAAATTCTAAAAATATTGTGATTTTTAAATTATTTTATAGTAAATCTTTTTTAAACTTATATGTAACATTGTAGAGGAGAGTCTTGCGATCAAAATGGCAGTTAAAATATTAAAATCGGCCCAGTAGATCACAAAATATAAGTATTTTAGTCTTCATAACTATATACTTTCTTCTTTATTTAAACTCTCCTCTATAACCTTTAATAGAAATTGAAAAAAGTTTATATAGTAAAGAAAAATGGTTTGATTAAAAATCTCCAAATTCAGAAATTTTACTATTCAAACTCAAACAGTTTGACAAACTTCAAATCAAACCCAGATCAAACTCAAATTCAACTAAAAAGTTTGACAAATCAAATCAAACTTTAATACTTCAAACTCAAATCAAACTTAAACTTGGTTAAAGTTTGATTTGAGTTTGATTTATAGAAACCCTAGTCTGTCCAAAGTGTTAGTACTATGCTAAGAATTTTACACTATTTACTATACTTGCACCTAACTATTACAGATTGAAATAAGGCAAATTAGGTTCAAATCGGCATCACAAAATCATGATATGAACCCAATTTGAAACAGATATTTGGCAGAAATAAGATACCTATAGGATACAATTCGGATTAATATTAGTATACAAGATATATTGACAAACCAATAGCTTAATAAGTAAATTGATTGTGCTATAAGATAAGCTCTATCGATTTATCTATTAAGCTATTGGTTTGTCAATATGTCTTGTATACTGATATTAATCTGAATTGTATTCTATAGGTATCTTATTTCTGCCAAATATTTGTTTTAAATCGAGTTCATATTATGACTGATTTAAACCCGATTTGCTTTATTTTGATCTGTGTATAGGTGTTGCCCATTTAAACCATCTAGTTTTAACTACCACTATCAGCCCTCTAACCTGAAGGGTTTTCTTACTAAACTAAATAGATATTGATATCACTCTGTATTGGCTTTCACACCCTGCCTTAGGACTTACTAACCTGTATAGAACTAGTTTATTCTTGAGGTAAATCTAACAAAATATACATGTTTCACACATGTATTCATCTGCATATTTCTATAACTTCTTCCTTATTAGTACAGTAGCCAACAAAAGTAATGTCTGATAGTTTTTTTATAGTAAAACATATAAAAAATTGAAATTTAAATAAATATAAAAATCAATATTCTATTTATTTTAAAAATTTTTTTTTAATACTATTA